TTCTCAATCATGCTTCTGTCTCCACAACCTCGGTGGACCAGATACTTCAAACACATGCCGCACTCATAAACTAACTTCCAATCGTCTATCGCACTCGGCTCTGTCATACACATCTATTCCATCCTCTTGCGCACGGTCACCTTTATTCTCAGTTCAAACGCTCCCGACACTCGTTCAAAGCCATACTTATTCCAATCCTACATAAATGTGCTGAGAAAAATTTAGACAAGATGAAAATCCAACCCCCAGGTCGAATACATCAATATTCTTTCATCAATAAGTCTTCAAAACTCTTCCTTTTAAATTAAACGCAAAAATTCAATGGAACGTATGAGATATGCCCTGCTAACAATTTTTGAAATATATACCAGTGAAATACACCGTGCTATTTCGAAAACTGTATCGAACCATGTATCGAATTGGCAATTCCTCGTACGAGACTATCAAAGTCACGACAGCGACGGAGCTACTGCACCCGAAATCGACTGCTCGAATTGATTGCATAGTTAAATCGTAAATCACGGCCGACACTAAATCTTGACGAGAACTTGTTCTTGCTGAAAGGCGAATTCGAACAATCGGCCGGGCAAAACCTCGGATGGCGAAATCTAGTTTTCTTGTCACGTCGCCGACTCGATATTGAACTTTGGAACATGACTGATAAAATCGTATACAATCGTACACGAGGCGTTGAATAGCTGTGCGTCATGAATCTACGAAAATGAATCAATATTTCTGGCTTTTCGCATTTCGGGACAAGATTCCAAATATCTGCCAGGAATAATTTTATTCCGTTTCGCTGGCGGGAGATTTAAATAAATTCAGGCTACGGAAAACTTCTGCCGCTCGTACTAATTCGAATAATTCGTTTACCCCGTGCGTTATATTTTTCCTGGTAAAGCAGGATTGAATTTTACCTGGAAATTTTCCAATTTATTTCGAAACGTTGAAATTTCGCAACATTTTAATTTCTATCGAAACTTTTTAGCGTTTGTATCTTTTACATTTCGCCACGCGTTTCGCTATTTCCATATTTTATCCGAACTTTCCAAATTTCCCTCGAGACTTCCTCGAATTACGTTCTGGACCCCGGATACACCTGTAATGGTAGTATTTATTACACGCATAGCGTATGCAAATAAAGTTTGTTTTAATTACAAGAATCCGTAATTCCGAGGAGGAAAAGGAAATTTAAAAATATTTCTTTGAGGGCAGGACGAAATCGATGTCTGGTGGAATTAATTTCGTCGTTTTCTGCACTCTCGCGTTACATCTGACGAACAAAATTTTTATCACGGAGCAATAATACTCCTCGTATTATTTTAAACGGATCAATCAGAGACGTCGGTGACTCGATCCTGGAAACCGGGAAATAATCGTCGAGTGAATCGCGACGGGGTGAAAATTTGCATTTTAATTGGAAAGTTCTCGTATCAGCAATTCGGGATTCGACCACGAAGTACGTGGAGAGCAATATCCTTCGCGCAGTTTCCCGCCACGAAGTTCCTGATTGCTCTCTGTGAATAACCTTGAACCGGCGGCTTCGAGCTCGGGTTGAATTTAATGAAACGAGCGATAAGCTTTGAGTAATTACGGAAGCAGCTATGTAACGTTGTTAGGGTAAATACTAAAAGTAATCATACCCCTAGTCCCTGTTGTACCCATAATTAGACCAGTGGGGCTCGGCTATTGTGTGCCGCGTATTTGCATAAGGAGGAAGAGACAGCATTGGTAGCACGCGATGTACAGATAATTCGTTCTTATCTCTCGAGATAATTTTTTAACTCTGGAATTATCTTTCGGATTATCGAGTGAAAAATTAATCTCAATCGTATTATTTTTGGAATTTTTCTAATTTCTATAGCGGATTTTGAACATTAGGCGAATGAAGTATGCACGTTGGACTGGAATTTTGGAAATATCACTGAACCAGAAATAAAATACGAGTGTCGGGAATGCGTAGGTAAAATTAGAAAAATATTTAGCAAGTTTTGAAAAATTCGTGGAAAGATAAACTTGTACGTAAATACGTTTTACGAGAATGGCGAACTATTCGAGTGCTTGAATTATTCTTGCGTTAATTCGAAGTGAGAATACATTTTCGGGATTTTGAAATATTTACAGGGAACGGAATTTAAATATTTAGGAAAGAAGCATACGAGAATTTACGAATATTTCGTTTCGAGAATTATTTTTGTCGCATTTATAAATTTCATATTTTTTTAATTCGCACGCGCGAGGATTATATTGCCGCGCAGAAATAAATTTCCAGGATTTTTTAAATATTTATAATCCATAGCGTAGGTCAGTTCGGGGATTTATGAATTCCAGTATCGGCAACGGAGTTGTAAATCTCGAGAATTATTTTTGTTATATTTTTTTAGACTCTTCTAATTTGAATGGATCGTACGCGAGTTTGGGCATGATTATAGATTTCCGATATATTTACGACTTCGATAAATTCCGAAACATGAAATATAGAAAATTCACCCTGGCTTTTTGCCATTTCCCCGATTAAAAGTATTTTTAATTCGACTTTCGATATCTGTTTATAATTCTGAGAGATTAACTGGTAGCTAATTAAAATTACCGAGCAAATTAAATTAAAATAAAGTTCGTATAATAGTAATTAATGCGATTACTGAATTAAATTAATTAATTAAATAATTAAATAATTATTATTAGAAACCTCCATGGGCATGATAAATAACGTATACAATTTGAACTTTCAGTGAAACAGATTTATTTCCGATTCGCTGGAAATAAGTAATGCAAGCGAGCGCATAGTCAGGCAACGCGTATAGGTCCGATTTATGCTGGAGTAGGAAAAAAACGTCGCGTCTGGTGGAAAAAGACGATACTCGTGGAAGTCAGCGAACCTTAACTGTCTCACTGTGGCAATTCGTGGAGCAATGGCGTGGCTGAGGACGCGCGCGACTTTATTTTTGAAGTCTCTCGTAAAACGACGCCGCGTTCGCCAGGAAAAAGCATAAAGGATCGCTTTATGCCGGCAATAAGAAACTCGGTATTCACCGGGCCAGGATTAACCCGCCTCCACGGCGTCCTGCGACTCGAATTAAAACGCCGACCGTCTGCCTGCGTGAAATTTCCAGCCAACCTACGAAACGACGTGGGGCCTCTAAACCGCGACAATTTACTTTAAGCGCGAATTCGACGAGAGCAGGCGTGTGTTGAAGTTCGCGACGCTCGTTCAGACTGCAAGTTGCAAATGGAGGAGTTTTTGCTACGTTCGTGTGGAGCGTGAGGAAATTTTCGAAGGCCTGAGAGCCTTTGGGTCGCGGATGGATCGAGTTATTATAGCAATCCACGCGGAGGAAGATATCTTTGTTTATTTTATTATCAAGATTTTCAATTTAATTATATTATAGTATCGCAGGTTTTGCGATATGTACACCCTATGTACACGTAGCTTTAGCTTAGAAAGTCACCAAGGATTCGAAGGCCAGGTCGGTCGGAAGAATCCCGGGACGATGCGTCAGGCACTTAGCACGACCATATGGTCATGTTGGGAGAGGCATTGGAAAAGGCGTGCATAGTGTGCATGGTGGAAGAAGAATATAAACAGACAAGGACCCAACAAGGTTCTGAGTTGTCAGAGATTTTTCGAAGTTAGTTGTCAGAGTTGTTGCTGTTGCTAGTTGTGAGTTGTAATAGGAGAGTTGCTGCAGAAGTATAGGTTGAGCGTTGTGATAAGTTAGCACGACCATATTTGATCATGATCGGGGAGGTTTTTGGAAAACCATGATGGGAAAGAGATATAAAAAAGGTTGAGAGTGATCGGGACACAGTTTGTTGGACGGAGTTCATTGTATGCAGTTCTTGGTAGATAGTTATATAGACGGTGTGGACAGTTTTAGTTGTGAATGGTTAGTTGTTGCAGGTTGAGTTATCATTGCGTTGTCTTAAGTTGGGAATCGATATAGGTTCATGTAAAGAGATAATTCGTGTGTTTAATCATCACTGTTAATTTATTATTAAATAAATATATATATATATCCCACCCCCAAAGCCATCTCTACAATTTTGTTATTAAATTTCGAGAGATTCCTTGGGCAAGGAATATTGGGAAATTTGGGAAGGTTTAGAGCTCTCATGAGGGTACTGTAATCAATTTTTTAATTTATTTATATTGTCATACTGAGAGTACAACTGTCTAGCTTTCTCGTAGAAAAGTGATTCCAAAATCTGGGTACAGGTTAACTCTTAGGGGCACGCTGGGATTGAAAGTGTCCCACCTTTTTGATGCACGATGGGGTAACGCGTGATGGGATATTTTTAGTCCCACCTCGAAACGCAGGGAAGGGGTGTGTTTCGTCTTGGGCCTGCTAGTGGACTCTGACAGACCCTGCCTTAGACAGGGGATACTTACGTAGCATGAGGACTCACGAGAAACCTCGAAGCTTCGTTTCCCATCCCAACAATGGTCGCTACATACTGTCCAGACGTTCGTCAGTATTCTCAAGCTCTACAGTAAATTTCGCTTGAATAACCTCCATCTGGACATTAATAATATTTTAGGATTGTAATAAAAAATATATAAGAATCATCCTGTACATTGACGTATATCACCCTATACAGGAATCACAAACGTTTCATCCCCCGTAACAACCCCTTCGCTTCAATCCTCGAACTCTACTCTTCCAAGCACCAAATTTCCTCGTAAACCTAAAATTCCACAATCTTCGAACTCGATGCACTTTACGCCAACGCTATCGGACCTATCAACAGCAACGGAAAATACGTCCGCAGCAATTGCGAACCGCAGACCGCGGAAATTCCTATCCAATTCCGATTTAACTAGGAAAGCTAGCCGAGTTTAGGGCCGGAAGGGTGACTCGTTGTCCGTTTTATGGGTGCACGTAAATTCCGCGTTTTAAGAGACGAACACACGATCGGATTCTCGTTGGAACAGAACGATCGTGGTTCGAGGATCGGCGTTAGGAGAGACAGGTGGACTAACTCGGTGAAATTGGTTGCAGGCTTTCTCAAAACAGGCCCGAAAGGGAGCGCGCAAGGAAATTACGGGTTGATGGACCTGGTGGCAGGTCTTCACTGGTTACACGAGAATCTCGGCGCTTTTGGCGGCAACCCCGATCAACTGACGCTCTTTGGCCACGGAACAGGAGCAGCCCTCGCCAATTTTTTAGCCGTCTCACCCATGGCGAAAGGTAACAACCATTTGATTCCTACCCTCCGTGCATCGCGGTGGAATTATTTTCAGCAGTCCCAGGTGTGTCCGAAAAGATAGAAACGGAACGATGATAAATTAATAAACGCTGTCTGCCAGTTATATTAATTTATAAACGAATTTACGAACTACATCGTCTGGTTTTCATGCTCAGCCTAGGGTGTTATTCGGGCCAGGTTTGACGTAACGTGTTAATTATACAATTAGATCGCATAGATGATGTTTTAATTCTATATCATCCCAATGTGCACAGCATCGTGAGTTATAGTGCACGGGGTTAGTAATAAAATGGCCACAGTTGGGATTATGGGTTCTAATAGGAACATAACTACGATATATACATATTATAGTCTTTTATTTCTTAAGGAAGGTATATGTTACTTCTAATGCTCCTCCTGAGAGACTGACCGACCCCTCTAATCACGAGAGTGCAAGTACTTCGGGTCACCAATTTAGTTGAAACATTGCAGGTTTGTAAATATCGTCATGCAGTTTAAGAAAATATATCATTATAGCAACAACTACTTAATAGTTCTTGAGATATTTACGATTAAAGTTTTATTATATACGTAATTATAGAGTTATTTCTAACACTTTTCAAGTGAAGTTGTGGCTTATCGGCAACGGTCGGAAATTTCTATGCGCAAGGACCGAGGTTCGATTCTCGTTCATAATTGGTAGTTTTCTTCATTCTATTTTTATTTTGTATTCATTTTTCGTCTATGTATACATTGTAAATAAATAATTGTAAATAAAACTTCTTAATAAAAAAATTTATTTTTTGCGCTTTCTTATGCAAGTATATATTTATTAGAAAATAATAAGAATATTACGCAAGAAAAACGCTTTTGTATAGCAATCATATTTACTACAGGAAATACAAAACCTATCGCGCATGTAAGTATTAATTATTAAATTAAACATTCTATAAGAATGTTGCCTATAATACCAACTTTGCTGTGCAACTATAAATGTTCATAAATTAATTACGGAAACTCGGAAATTCATTAATTTTCTACTGCCAAATTGATTTATTAATATATTAAATTTTTATCGTCTATTAAGATTAAAAATTGTACTGTCTGCGCCATCTATTATTTGGCTCCAAAAGCTCCAAAAGTGATAGGAATATAGAATAGGCAAGGAGGTCGTCGATGTGCTGGTCACGTGGTAGACAAGGATAGAGTGGGGATAGAAAAGGATAGAATGGCTCCGGCAGTGAAAAAATATTAATTACTCAATTCCCGTAAACAATTTGTAAACTTTTATAATTTCATTGCAAAGCTGGAACTTCAGGCTATATTCTTATATAACTTTCGTAAAGAATTTGGCTGTAAATTCATAGTTATTAATTTTTGTTTTATGGCGTCTATGATTTCTTAACGGCGACCATCTCGATCTTCCGTGGAAATATTTAATACTAAACGAAAGTAGAAGCAAAATGTGATCAAAAGTTATATGAGAAGATTCGCAAGAACATTGTCTTTCTAATAAGTGTACGAAGTTTTATAAATTAATTGCGTAAGGGATAGTAATTAATGAAAAACCAATGGCGTCTTTGACAACAATTCAAACACTGCGTTGAATAATAATTATTAATTAATTAATTAAGGACAAATTTATATCGAAAAATATATGGGAATGTTCTTGAAGGATCTGCCTTTACGATGCAATTATAAAAGTTCATGAATTAATCGCCGCAAATGAGTAATTAATTAATCTTTAAATAAAAATTCAAAAAGGAACTGTCAGCGCCACCTATGATGTTTACCTGGAAGCTTATGCCCCCTTAGTTCCAGTACAAAACTATAGGCGGCGCTGACTGCTCCTTTTTGAATTATTATTAGAAAATTAATTAATTACTCAATTCCTGCGATTAATTTAATAACTTTTATAATTGCATCGTAAAGCCAGATCCTTCCCGAAATTTCACATATATTTTTTGATATAAATATGTCCCTGATTAATTTATTATTAATTATTGTTCTATGGAGTGTTTGAATTGTTGTCGAAGACGCCATTGGTTTTTCATTAATTACTATCCCTTACGCACTTAATTTATGAAACTTTGTACACACATTAGAAAGACAATGTTCTTGCGAATCTTCTCATATAACTTTTGATCACATTTTGCTTCTAGTTTCGTTTAGTATTAAATATTTCCACGGAAGATCGTGATGGTCGCCGTTACGAAATCATAGACGCCATAAAACAAAAATTAATAACTAACAATTTAGAGCTAAATTCTTTACGAAAGTTATATAAGAATATAACCTGAAGTTCCAGCTTTGCAATGAAATTATAAAAGTTTATAAATTGTTTACGGGAATTGAGTAATTAATATTTTTTCACTGCCGGAGCCATTCTATCCATTTCTATCCCCACTCTATCCTAGTCTACCACGTGACCAGCACATCGACGACCTCCTTGCCTATTCTATATTCCTATCACTTTAGGAGCATTTGGAGCCAAATAATAGATGGCGCTGATCGAAACTGCCGGATGAAACACCACGTGACCAGTAGGGCGGGAGAAACAAAACAATACAAGGACATAAATAAGTATAACACATATTTCTGCCTTTTTTTAAATCTCTTAATAGCCCGTCGAACATGAAGTCACAGATGAAGATGCGTGGTTTTGTTCTTGGTAAAAAGAAAATGAAACTGCGATGTTTACACGTTAAAATACTTTTTATTCACTTTGAAAGTTTTACATATGCATGATAATTGTTAACGACATAATAAACAATGACATACAGACATTAGAATCTGAGTAGATGTCCACATCACGGACCGTTACGAGAAAAAGATGTTTCGTAATACATATCGCGCAATAATTATCATTATAATGACCATATATATATATTTATGTACAATATTTATAGACATATGACAAACAATTCGAATACATGAGTTATCCTAATCATTTTTAATATCTCTTATCGTGCTCCTATGCTTTCTCTTGTGCTATACCTCATAAGGAGTTTTTTATTCCCTATTCATTTTCCTTTATATCCTTATCATCTTCGACATCATCTATTTTATAATTTTGTACTTTCTCCGGTTCCTTTTCTGTATCTCTCAATGTATTTTTTATACTTTCCTTCATTGCTCTGAAAATATAAATATAAGAGACAGTCAATAAAAATTCCTACTTTCTATAACATAGTTATAATGCAAACAATAAACTAACTCTTTCTCTTTCTTTACAACTTCTAATTCTTCTTGAGTTTTTACTTCGTCGTCACTTTCCCAATCGCTACTGCGGCCTTCCTTCCTTTTTTTATTTGCAAGTCCAGGTGGTTCAACAGCTGTTTGTGAGCTTAATTTTGGATCAGTTAAATGATCATGAGCTGATTTGCCCTTACCAGTAAACTTTTTATTTAATATCACAGATTCTTCTTCATCTTCCTTTGCTTCTCCACCAAATGATAAAAGATTCAAATCTCTGTAACACAATTTTTCGTTGTAAAGAACAATACTATCAGGACTAAATTCTGCAAACATATATGATTTTTACTTTACTGCTGCTGTTTTAGTTTTTTAACTGTTCTTTACTTCTTCACTTTCCTGTACTATTATTCTTGGTATAATATCAGAAAATGGATTGTTCAATATTATAGTTTTTATCAATCTTGGAGGATAAAGTGGTCTATCATTCTACAAAAAAGGGGAAATATTATATTTATATCAATTATTGATATATTTTCTTGTAAACATTAAATTTACCTCATTTACAAGTGCTTCTTCGAGTTTAAGCATACTATATATAGATTCTCCAGTAGCTCTACCAGAAATTGTATGCTTATTCTGCAAATCTGGTGTAGAACTAAGAATAAAGAAGTATTGGGAACCATTGTCATCTTTCTAGCATTAACCATAGCAATTAAATCTCGTCGACAAAAACGTAATCGTGTATGAAATTCGTCCTAAAACATATATATCCAATAATTATTTTTCGATAAAAAAGGAATTCATTTTATTTTTAAATATAGTCTCACTTTTAATGGTTCTCCATATATTTTACCACCTTCTCCTGTACCCGTGGAATCACCACCTTGTGTTATGAATCCTTTGATAATTCTATGAAAGATAGTGTCACCCTAATAACCTTCCATAGATAACTGTATGAAATTTCTACATGCCTTTGGAGTTTCTTTTGCCCATAATTCTAACTCAACATCACCAACAGTTGTTTTCATTACAACCTAGTTATAACAAATATATTAGTTTGATTAGTGTAAAATACTTTTAAAATCAAATTTATTAAAATTTATTATTTATTATTGTAATTCAAATTAGGAATTATTTAATATATTAATATAGAAGTTTGGAAAGTAAATATTGTATCTCGGTTAAATTTTTAAAAACAGATATACAATCCATTGAAATGATACTTATTACTTTACCCTTAGTGGCTGGCTCTTGCATATGAATATTACTCATGTTTGTAAGTCTCCTATAATAGAAAAAACCTTTCATGAATAACATTTCATATTAAATCTTTAGTCATTTATAAATCAGTCAACCAAATGGCGCTTTTCTCGAATAATTATCAACAGGTAAGACGTACCTTTTACATCCTTTTGACAGTGGCTTCATTGGCCCAATGAATTCCATGATATACCACAGCACCATTATATTGCTGCTTTTACGGTTTCCAAGTTCCTAGATATTTCCACACATTTTTGCCTTAATGTAACAGTTACAATCTATATTCAGTTTAACTTTACCTTTCATAACTATTACCACTTGTTCATTCTCCAGTTCTTCAATGATCCTCATGCTTTCATGTCGATGCCATACATTTTTCTCTGTTGATACATATGCTGCTTCTTTTCTGTTTCTCGATTCTGCATAATATCCATTTTCTCTTCTCACTTCTTTTATACGAACTTCTCCCTTTTCTTTATATATCTCAGCTCCATCATTCTGAAACTTAACTTGTTAGCGATGGTCAGTAACTTTGACCACAGAT